AAACAAAATGGCGCCAGTCGGCCATTTCGAACCCGATCCCCAAAAAAAAATGACGTGCATCAAGGTCCTATATGCTTAATGTATGTACCAAATTTGAACAAAATCCGTCCATGCATAACTGAGATCCGGGTCCGGAATGGTGAAAATGTGCGATTTTGATGCATTTTCGGCCTTAAAATGGCCACTATTCGGCTATCGTTAATCGGATCATGAAAAAAATGCATGTGCATATGTCCCATATAATGTGTGATGTATGAGTGAAGTTTGAACTTAATCGGTCCATGCATGTTCGAGATACAGGTGATCACGGACGCACGGACGCACACAGGGCAAAACATAAGTCCCCGTTTTCGGACTGCGTCCGAACGGGGACTAATTAATCAGGCCTGTCTATTGTCCTAGAGCATTTATGTACCAAATTTTATTCAAATGTGATGATCAATAATTGAGATATTAGTGTTAATTAATTATGTTAATTAGGTGATTTAATAGCATAAATATTTATCAAAAACTAATTGGGTCTCTGCCTAGTTCTCTTTAAAAGTTTCATTAAAATCCAATTTGTGATTCTTTATATATCAGTGGAACATTATGCAAATTAGGTAATTAATATCCAATTAAAACTAATCAGGTCTCTGCATAATCCTAGAAGATCTATGTAGCAAGTCTCATTGAAATATGATGATTAGTACTTGAGATATCAGGCAAAAAGCTGAAAATTAACTAATTATGCTAATAAGATAATTAATATGCACAAATATTTACCCAAAACTAATCAGGTCTGTGCAGTGTCCTATGACATCTATGTACCAAGTTTCATTGAAATGTGATGATCACTACTTGAAATATCAAAAGATGAAATTTAATTAATTATGCAAATTAGGTAATTAATATGTACTAATATTACCCTAAAAACTATCAGGTTTGTGCAGTGTCCTATGATATCTATGTACCAAGTTTTATTGAAATGTGATGATTAGTACTTAATATATCAGTGGAAAAGCCGAAAATTGATTAATCATTATGCAAATTAGGTAATTAATATTGCACAGATTTTTACCTAAAACTAATCAAATCTGCGCATTAGTCTGAAGCATCCATGTGCCAAGTTTCACCAAAATCCAATGAGTGATTTTTAAAAATCAGCTAATTATCATGCAAATTAGGTAATTAATATGCATGGATTTTCACCAAAACCTAATCAAATCTGTGCATTGGCCCAGAGCATCTATGAACCAAGTTTCATCAAAAATCAATGTATAGTTCTTGAGATATCAGTGGAACAGACACACACACACAGACAGACAGACAGACAGACAGACAGACAGACACACTAACTGCAAAGACTCCCTTTTTGTGCTTCGCACACGGGAGTCAAAAATGTGCACAACGATACAATCATTTCAGCATTGATGTAATGCTGACTCAACATTTTTTCAATGTGCCCACATGTCATGTCTATTGTACACATAATTCCTAAATGTATTTTTAGCAATCAGAGTAATCAATGTAATTATCTTCTGATATCACTTATTCATTGAGAATGATTTTGTTTGTACACAATACACAGTCAATAATTAGCATCAATCAGCTATATGAATAAATAATTGTAATTGATAATCTAATAATATTTTCAAAAACTTGTGTGCAATAGAAATAAAACTGAGATTTGTCATTACTTTGGGCGTCTTTTAGAACCAAGTGTAACATTAGTTGTTGATGCCAACAATTCATGGTATACGAACATTGATAATGTTGCCCCCAACATTAACGATGAAATAATAATTGAAATTCAATTTACAGGCTTGATAATTTTTCCTAGATTATATAAATGCACTGTTTAGCATTTATTTTTACTGAAATTTAATTTCACTATTTTGAGTATACCGATATTTACTGATTTTTTAGTTAAAAAGCTAACCAGGAAAACAATGAGTTCTATTGTTAATTTACATGTTCACATGGATTTAATTTAATCAGCAAAAATAGTGGAAAAAACAGTGAATAATTAATGCATTTACAGTACTGCACATCCTAATTGTTAACAGAACACTAGAGGGCACTACACTGATCCTGTACTCACCAAAAGATATTTATCCTGCCCGTAAACTTGTATCGTGTTAACAGCAAACTTAGAATGGCATTCTCTTGAGAGATCTCGCTGTGCTTCCATGTCTCTTCCGAGTAATCCTTGCAAAAATGCTGACTTGCCAACACCCCGTGGACCAATTACGTTGCAAAAAAACACATTTCTGGAGGTTTGTCGTTTGTCTCTGTCAACTGTTTTGTCCCTGGTGACTGTCAAATGAATTTCAAACCAATATAAGTGCCAATACAAAAGCATTGTTGTATACAAAAAATTAAAGCAAATAAATTATAAAATGCATAATTATTAGTTCAACAATGTGGGGAGGGGTACAACACAATTTAGATGAATCCATCACACAAAGTAAATCCTATCTTTGGTAAAGCTGATTTTCAAGTTTTGCAGATACCGAGGATACTGAACAAATATTGTCACATTAAATTAGATGTATTGGATAATTTGTAAAACTATTACGAATTCAAGAATATGACAAGAGTATGACAACTTTAGATATAAAGAAATTAAAGCAATAAAAAGCAATAATAATGAGAGAGAAAAATATTTGATAATTCTACAATTTTGTTTAATTTTCCATATCCTCATCTTGTACATTAAAATTTATATTAAAATTATCGATACAACTATTACTATTTTAATCCAAACCTTCTTAATACATTGATACAATGTACTTACCATGAATTGCTGAGAGTTGTGTCTCATGCTCTGCCATGACGTAACGATAGCCAAGATATGCTAAATTCTCCAATGTACGAGGTAAATCTAATAATGTTGTCAATCTGTATATATACAATAATCATGAATATTACTGAGAAATGTGCTGTTATACTAGAGAGTAGATTTCTATTGATACAGTCAAACTTTGTTTCAAATGAATATGAAGGTCCTCAGGAGAATATACACTCATTTGTTATAAATGGAGTTTGTGATAACTTGTCACCACTAGAGGGCGCTTTACAAAAATGAACATAATTACCACAAGTCATGAAACAACGCAATAATATATTAACTAAGCATTTTACATAGGAAATACAGACTAAAAAGGTCCTCATAGTTACATAGAAAAATATTAACATATGTCCTCAAATAATACTATATGTATTGTAGTTCAGCAACATATCTAAGCAAAATTTGGCAAGAAAAACACTAGCCAAGGCCTAATGCACGGTATGAGGTTTTACCCAGAATTCAACACGTTCTGTACCAACATGTTCTGTACCAATGCATATTGCTATGCGCAGAACTGAAAATTCTGGCATCGCTCTGCGCAAAAACAGTTTTAAGCTCGTTAGTTGTTTCCGGGTTCGCCTTCCATGTGCTTATCGTGCGATTTATTGTACCAATATCACATTTTCTGGACGTATTCCTACACAATCCATGCCAAGA